AAGGCGGACGTCGTCTCACCTCCGGAACCTGAAGAAGCCGGGGACCCCCGCCTGGCCCCAGAGGCCTCCCGCGAGGAGAGGTAAGTCAGAGCCAGTTCCCACGGAATGTGGGGTCGGCCTCCCCAGGGGTCCCCTCCGCTCTGTCCGTCAGTCACGTAGACGGGCGGGCGCGAGAAGCTAGTTTTCCATCTCAATTTGGGATGGCTGAGCGCGGGGGAAGCCTGAGGCAGGGGCGGAGGCGTGGGGGCCGTTGGGCTCGCCTCACGCCTTTTCTCGCGTCCTTGGCCCCATCGACTCACTTTCACAGGCGTGAGCGGCTCGCTGGCGGGGGGGCCGTGGGGGCTGTGGTCGGCCGTTCGTCTCCCTGGAGCCCCAGTGCCTCTGCTTTGGAATCTGGCTTATTTGTGCCGAGGCCTGGAGGGTCCCCACGCTTCTCAGCCCGATGGCGGCCTGAAGCGGTTTTGTTTTCTCGGGATTTGGGCGCAGTCGCCACTCACAGCTTTAAAGGGGACACGGGCTTTTCCACGGGGACGGGGAGAGACGCGCCTTCTCGCCATCTGCCGCCGCCTCCACATTGTCCAGCAAGAGCTGCTCTGGCTCTGTGTGTGTGTCCGTGCATATGCATGTGTGTGAGTGTGTGTGTATGCGCACCGTGGGGTCCGAGGCTGTGGTCGGCCGTTCGTCTCCCTGGAGCCCCAGTGCCTCTGCTTTGGAATCTGGCTTATTTGTGCCGAGGCCTGGAGGGTCCCCACGCTTCTCAGCCCGATGGCGGGCTGAAGCGGTTTTGTTTTCTCGGGATTTGGGCGCAGTCACTCACAGCTGCTTTAAAGGGGACACGGGCTTTTCCACGGGGACGGGGAGAGACGCGCCTTCTCGCCATCTGCCGCCGCCTCCACATTGTCCAGCAAGAGCTGCTCTGGCTCTGTGTGTGTGTCCGTGCATATGCATGTGTGTACACGTGTGTACATGTGCATGTATGTGAGCGTGTGTGTACGTGTGCATGTGTGCGCACACGTGATGCGTGCGTGAGCAGGGCGGGGCGGGGCTTTAAATTAGCACCTGTGCCGGCCAGCGTTCCCTCCCAAACAGCTGCAGGCGTTTCATTGACGAGGTGGCTCCCGTTCCAGGCGCTGGAGGAATGTGCGTCACCTGCTCCCCCGCCTGGCGCTCCGCCCACACCAGCTGCCGCCGCGGCCCCACAAGGGCAGCTCTGGTCCTCCCTC